ATTAACATGGAATTGATTTGACTTGAGAAATGACAAGTTTACAACTTCTGTTTGTTGTTATTCTTATTCCTAAATGAGAGTGATTGTACAATCATGGTCCACTTTTGAAACAGAGATAGCAGGTGATATGTACAGTTATTAAATATCTCCAGTCTAAACCACACACAGTGTTGCATTGTCATCTGTTGAAAAGTTTCAAATGATCACAGAAATCACCTTTTAACTTGATGCTTTGAATGATTATATTTATTGTTAGATTTTTTTAGATTTGTTATGCCAATCAAAATGCATATCGCTGAATCATTCGTTGAAGTGATTTGTTTAAAAATGCAATTTAATTCATAAATTAAACAAATGAATATTTATAAGAGGGCAACTAATCATTAATTTAATCTGAGATAAAACAAAAAATTAAAAAAACAATTTTATTCTGAGTTTATCGAGAATTGTGACATGGTGGCTCAGTGGTTTGCACTGTCACCTCACAGCAAGAAGTTCACTGGTTCGAGTTTGCATGTTCTCCCCATGTTTGTGTGGGTTTTCTCTGGGTGCTTCGGTTTCCCCCACAGTCCAAACACATACATTGTATGAATGAGTGTGTATGGGTGTTTCCCAGTACTGGGTGGTGGCTGGAAGGGCATTCGCTGCGTAAAACATATGCCGGAACAGTTGGCAGTTAGGTGGCAACCTCTAAAATAGAGACTAAGCTGAAAGAAAAAGAATGAATTCTGAATTTATCCAGAGGAATATCAATTAATTTAATATTTGATGCTTCGTTGATTGTCATTTTCATGTTTATTACAGTAAAGCTACATTAAAACATTGTTTTGTATAAAGCACTATTTAAATAATGGTGGCCTGACTTCAAAATAGGGTGTGGATAAGTAAGTATGTCAGTAAATAAATAAATAATTTGAAAGTACTATTAGTTGGTGACAAGTCTGACCTATTAAGTGATTAAAAAATATTTACATAATGTGATCGAATAGCACACTCAAAATCATGAAGATCGCTGGTTCGAGCCCTGGCTGGGTCAGTTGGCATTTCTGTTTGGAGTTTACATGTTCTCCCCATGGGTTTCCTCCAGGTCCTCGGGTTTCCCCCACAGTCTAAAAACATGTGGTCCAGGTAATTTGGGTGAGCTCAAATTGGCCGTAGTGTATGTGTGTGAATGAGTGTGTATGGGTGTTTCCAAGTTATGGGTTGCAGCTGAAAGGGCATCTGCTGCATAAAACATATGCTGCATAAGTTGGCGGTTCATTCTGCTTTGGCGATCCCAGATAAAAAAAGAGACTAAGCTGAAAAGAAAATGAATGAAATTAACATGATTTAATCGTAGCACCCATTGTGCATCTAAACAAATGCATCTAAACAAATGCTTTAAACGTGTTATATGAACACAATATAAACTTGTAATTTCAACAGGGTTTTAATAGGTCTATGTAACATTTGCAGCTAACTGAATTAAAATGTTTGTGTTGGGTTTAACTGACTGAATTTATTAATATATACTCAAAGATTTTTCCTTGTTACATCAACAAGTTTTGATCTTATCCATGTATGGTTTTTAAAATGTTTGTATGAACTTAGTTTGGACATTCTTTTGTTTTTGGCAAAGTACCTAACATTGATCATGTTGGCTTGTGCATTGTTAAAACAACAAATGCCATATTAATCTAGACAATAAACAACACACACCCATAAAAACAATACCTACATAAAGTCACTTGCTGCAGTGATTTGGCATGCTACTGTAAACCTAAACTATTCACCAAGTTCTAATGAGGTCACTATAGACTAAACCCTAAATGCAGCCTTTTTACCAGTTAACTTTAGTCTACTGAAGTACTATGGTTTTCAGTAAGCCTTGCTACCTCAGAGCTGCAACTGAACTAAATGTGTTTATAGTGGAACTCAAACAAACCAGTGGTTTCTAATGTGACAACCCATTTTCAGACCTCTCATATGTCAGTGACATCCTTACTTTTTGCAGCTTCTTCTTATTTGCAGAGACATTTGTTTTTCAGAGCATGGCTTTACTTATTGCTACTAAAAAACAAAATACTCAATTTAGAATATTATGGGCAGCATCCTAAAACAAGGAAAATTGGACATTAAATGGGCACATTTGACCTACAGCAGCCACAGCAGAATCTGCAGAACAGAAAGAGCTCTTCTTTGGTGTAATTACGTCTTGACCCGAGAGAATGTCTTCAACCCAGTTCTCAAGTGACTGATTCTGGCATGCCAGTCAAAACAGAACATTTCACCGCATACAGGCTAGACCGCATTTTTGCCCTTCAACCACTGACAAACACTTACAGCTTTGCTCTTTTAAATCACTACTTGTTTATTTCAAGATAATACACAAAATGAACTAAGAAAACGGTCAAAATAATACTCAAATCTCTGACAAGTCAATTTGATGGCCACAATTCATTACAGATACCCAAGTGTAGGACTGTAGATTATTCTTAAAGAGAAACCAGTTAACAAAACATGAAGAATACATGTAAGTGTCGAGAAAAAAACATGAAATATATAACGTGTAATTTTTACAGAACCCAACCAATTATGCTTTTTATAAAGGTTTCCAATTGTGTTTAGCTTTGGTCTCCTATTTGAGGTTTGCATACATCCAAGGTCAAAAAATTTCATTTACTTAAAATATAAATTTTTACATTTCACACCACCTCCTTCTCAAAGTCTAAACAATTAGTTTGAAGATCTGTTCATTATATAGGCCTATCCTTTCTGTAAACCTACAAAAGGCCAATGGTTTGTGTTTCCTCAACATCCGCATGAACAAGTGTATGTCTATCACAATGTTCAGAAATTAACAAGGGTTAGTGGTAAAAAAATAACAACAAAATAAACCAAAATTCCATGCAAATGTACAAGCTCCACCAAAAAAAGTGGTCCCCTTCTGCTGTTATAATGAATGCCAATGTGATGTGAAATGTGAAAATTATGTAAACATTTTTATTGCATCAGACCAATCACACGTTTCTATTAAGCTACTGAACACAATAGCCAATCAGACATGTTTGGATTAGTAATCTCTGGAGTGTGTGCACTTACTGACTGAATTCTGTGCTTTCGCAAGAAAAAGCAGATATGAAGAGATTAATTTTGCAGCTTTGATTATTATAATGAGAGTGCTGAAGTAACACTAATACTTTGTCCTGACAATAAACACTGCTTCTCTGCATGATTTTGCAATGTAATCTCACAGCAATTCCTAACTATTTGATTTATTGGCTAATTTTTATAAATTTCTATCATCTGATTCATACATTTTAGTACAATTTGCTCATACTCCAATGAGAATTTTGGAATGGGGTTTGTGTGCATGCCTCCTTTTAAAAATCGTATGTTTTGTACATATAACATCTACAAAACTTAATTTATACTTACTTAATAACACGTTTCACATTGGTGAACTGCTACTTAAGAGGCACCTATGATGAAAATCAACTTTTGGAAGCTGTTTGGACAGAACTGTGTGTAGGTATAGTGTGTTCACTGTCATGATGAAGCAATGTAAACCCAACAAGTCTCTTTTTTTTTAAATTATCTGATATTAAAATCTGTAAATTCGCTATGTAATTCTTAACTGCTATAATTACCACCGAACGGTGTCAGCAAATGCATATGTTTGTGTGTGTACCGCAAACGGCGTTTGTGTGAGACTCACCATTTCAGAAAGGCTTGAATAAACTCCACCACAAATATAATAAATAAACTTAACTTACTTATTTTTGACTAATGAGCTGTATATTAGCTTCATCCGAGTCTGTCTCTATCACTGACTGCTGTTTAACCGTTGTAATGCATGAAAAGCAGGCATGCATGTTACAGGGGGCGGGGAGAAGCAGCTCATTTGCATTTAAAGCCATATGCTACAAAAACAGCTTAATTGTACTCAAATTCTGCAAATGAAGATGTAAGGTCATATATATATATATATATATATATATATATATATATATATATATATATATATATATATATATATATATATATAAACATTATGGGGACTTAAAAACAACCTTTAAGTGACTTGTGAGGTTGCTGAATTCATAGCAGGCGTTAAATGTTAAAGAGTCATATTAAAGTAAACCCAAATCATGCAATTACAAGTTTATAAATGTCTTAGTAAATATTTAATGGAGATCAGTAAGAGTAGATGACAGCTGTCAAACCTTAAAAAATTGCTTCTAAAATCATGTAATTGTTTATCTGTTTTAAATTTTATAACGAGTTAAGTTATGCTTAAAGGGCACAAGTACTCAAATATCAACATAACATAACTTATTAATTAGAAAAGGTTGAAAGTGCAAAGTGGAAATGTTCCTCATTTAGTAACTAAATAGCAGGTGAAGTTTTGTCCCACGCCTCAAGAATCAGAGGACGGTTAATCTTTTATAAGCTATGTGATTAGGAATAAGAGCCATAAATTCAAGCACTGTTCAGCAAAAAAACACTGCTGTGGAGATCAGATTTCCTGCTGGACACAAAGCTTTCCTTTCAGGGTGTAAAAAAATCACCTGAACATATGGACAATTTCACATACTGCTAAACAAGCAATCAGTGCACTTCTCTAACATGTTAAGCATCAACGGTCAGACATCTGACATCAGCTCGGGACAAATAGAAATAAGTTCCAAATGCTGTTACTAGCACTGTGTTTCATAACATTCAATAAACAGACAATACAGATCATATACCCAACAATTCTCTTATTATAGCCAATTTTATTAAACTAAGTGCAGTGTAGTACGATTAAGTGATAAATATAAAATAAATTTTTTTAAAAGCCGTGTTTATTTTTTGAAACCGATGTGAAGATATCATAATAATAGCGAGATAATACAGAAATCCATCCTGGAATCTGAGATTGACTCTTCAACAGCAGCATGCTCTCCAGATCCCATTCGCACCCTCTATCTATTGTTTCCGTAAGAAGTCCTATTTTCGTAAAATATTAAAACAATTACCTTCATATATGATTTTGTTCGCTCATCGGCCCTCGCAATCACAAATATCCCAGTTTACGGAGTTATTTCTCACTTTCTCTGCTGCCCGAGCTGCTGCTGTCCTGTCCCGGCCGAAAATATATGGACTGTTGCCACTGACAGATCGTGCAGCCAATAGGCGGAGACCACAATCCGGAAGAGTCAGTTCTGATTGGATGTTGGACTCAAGGGGAGGACTTAAATAAGCATCGGTTTTGTGTCTTTGTCTATGTTGTTTGTTTTGCATGCGTGTAGAATATTGTGGTGATTTGAGCACCTTACGGTTCAAATCGTGTTTCATTAATAACGATAAAAAATTTTTTTTCATTTTTTGAACGGATGCTTAGGAACACATCTCTTCTTTATAAAGGTAATTTTAAAGTAAATGTTTAAATATTAATGACAGGATTTTAGACTTCAAAATGTCAAACATTTTCGTTCTTTATACACAACTAAATATCGACAATAACTTTATTATTTTATTTTGCAGGGGTGTTACAGTTTTAATGTACATGTCATGTTATTCTAACGTGACTGTGTTTTTTCTAATGCTGACATGGTAAAGGTGAGCTGATAAATGCGCCTTTATTTGAGTTTCAGTGGCGTTAATGAGCCCCTCTTAACCTTATCTCTGGCGCCCCTTTATGGACACACGGGCAAATACCAATTTTACATATATGTGGCAACAAAGAACAGATCCTGAGATTAACCAAACTACATTTCAGGATTACACTTTTAAAATAGGGTGTCTTCACAGTGATGCCACAGAAGAACCATTTCTGATTTCATTTTATATTTAATAAGATTTTCTTTTTTTTTTTTAAATAGTGTGAACTTAACATAAATATTGAAAATAAATGCAAACTAAATGCATGTTAAGAAATCTAAATGTGCTAAATTCAGAGTTGTAAAATCTTGATTTTTTAACCTCTGAAATTTTTGTATGCAACTTGTAAAACACACAGTGTACACATTTCTATGAACTTTGTAGTTTATTATTACATTGTATTTTCAGAAGATATTGGAATATTTTCCCCACTTTAAAATTGTCAATACTGAAACACAACAATATATGCTTCGATGAAATGTGTTTTAACTTGATTTTCTGGATGTCCCAATATTTTACTTATTTTTTAGTTATTACAACTTAATTTTGTAGCTACCCCAACATATTTTTTTCTAGTTACACCAACTTATTTGTTTAGTTACTACAACCTATTTTTCGTAGTTAGCCCAATATTTTATTCTAATTACCCCAATTTAATTTCTCCATTTAATGCAGCTTATTTATTTATTTTTAATGCAAAGTAATTTTCTATTTAATAAAGCTTAATTTTTAAAAGCTACATTTTCCGGTACTTTACAGTTTTTTGTGTAACTCACACCATCAAAAAAAAAAAAAAAAAAAACTAATGAAAAATGCATTTTAATCCTTCATTTTCCATTTCTTCAGAATACCTCAGCAAATAATATTTTTTTAAAAACTAAATTTACATTAAAAAGATGAAATTAGGCTGAACAAAGTTGTTGTTCACCTTTAGTTGTGTTGTTCATTGCAAATTATGTAAGATTGACACTTAATGGTGGAACTAGGTATTGCACTGCTAATTCAAAACACTTTACCTGGCCACTTCAATGACTCCACGCAAGTGCAAGTTGCCAGATTGACATCACCAACACGAGCATGCATGCTTGACTATCAAGTCTACACTACAAGTGACAACACTTAAGTGACGTGACAAAAAGAATCTTTACCATGTTAACAGAGTTTTTGTTCAAACCATCACCTAAAACTTCTATTTTATTGTTTTTATTTGTCATGGCTGGCATGAACTATTGAGACAACGATCACCTCGGGTACTGATCATGTGCTTCTTCTGTGCTAAATGCTACTAATATGAGTTTGAATCTCATTGTACTTGACATTTGTTGCCATATTGAAAACAGCTGCAGAGTTTACCTCCGATTTTGGAAATAAAATAAACATATTTGAAAATGAATGTTAGATCTAACTTGAATAATCTTAAAGAGGTTTAATATGTATTAATTAGATTTTAAACCTTACCGTTTAGTTAAAGTTCAGCAAGTGCTCTATTTTGTCCTCCTGAAAGGCTAATATTTAAATATTTCGGTTGTGTTGCGTTTGGTGCAGACAGTCAAATTGCTTGTTGGGACAGGGTGGTATCAGGGGCATAATGGACATTTTAAAAGTGTGTGTGTGTGTGTGTGTGTGTGTGTGTGTGTGTGTGTGTGTGTGTGTGTGTGTGTGTGTGTTTGTGTGTGTTGGGGGGTGCGTTTGTGCAGCTGAATAAGATTAAAATGTTTACTATTAATCACCTGTTTCTAAATGGCCTATCTCTAAAAGTGTTGGAGACATATCCCCCTGTTCCTTCCCTTGGTGGTACAATATATGCTGCTCAGCTAATGTTTACAATTTTTATATGTAGATTAATTTCTAATTAAAAACCATCTTACGTATATTCTTATAACTCTGAATTTCTGTCTCATTTCAGAGGCTGCTGCTGTCTTGCAGGGGTCAACTTTTTTGGCTGCAGCTGCATACATTGAAGCAGTCGTCAAGACTAAAATGAAAAATGGTGCATTTTCCAGCAAGGAAACAGAAATATAATTGGGTAAACTGGCAGTGGGTGGGTTATAGAGACCAAAACAAAGACGCAGAACCTGACACAGATTCTGACACAGAACGCACATTTTCAAAGGAGAATAACTGACTTTAGTTTGTATTAGATTGTTTTTGACACTTCTAAAGCACGACAATGGTATAAAAAGAAGCATTATACGTGAACATACTTGTTTATCTAAAAACAATGCTATTTTATTCATTAATTCCCACCAATGAACCGCCAACTTGTCCAGCATATGTTTTACGCAGCGGATGCCCTTCCAGGTTCAACCCTTCACTGGGAAACACCCATACAACTCTCATTCACACAAATACACTACAGCCAATTTAGCTTACCCAATTCACTTATAGCGCATGTCTTTGGACTGTGGGGGGAAACCGGAGCACCCGGAGGAAACCCACACAAACACAGGGAGGACATGCAAACTCCACACAGAAACGCCAACTGACTCAGCTGGGGCTCAAACCAGTGACCTTGCTGTGAGGCGATTGTGCTACCCACTGCCCCACCGTGACGCCAGTACAAACTAATAATAAATCTTTATACTTTGCCACTGCCCTTCAATTCACTAGATTTTACTCATTTACTAGCAATAAATGTTTAATCATTTAGTATCATCACTTGTTTTGGTGGCGCAGGGTATGGCTGTCGCAAGCAAGAAGGCTCCTGGTTCCAGCTCTGGGCTGGGTCAGTTGACATTTCTGTGTTGCAATTCTGTGTAAAATTAGCGTGGGTTTCCTTCAGGTGCTCCAATTTCCCCCACAAGTCCATAGAAATGATCTAAAGATTAGTTGGGTTAGCTAAATTGTCTGTAGTGTATGTGTAAGTGTATGTCCTGGTCCTCCAGGTCGGGGGTTGGATGTTAAGAAACACCAACATGGTGCGGCTAAATATCAACTTTGACATAATCAGCCCTGGGAACAGTATTTCACACATGCTTTGAAATTAAATTTTCAAAAAAGTACAGAAATTTGTCATTTCTTCATTGAAAAAATAAATAAATAAATAAAAATCAACCAATCACTAGTAATTACAGTGGTTAACATTGCTAAATGAACACTGTTGTAACATATACAACTGCTGTAATAAATAAATAAATAAATAAATAAACTGTGACATAGCATTAATTTTACCCCTGATTAAACTTAAAATAGATAAAAAGATAAAATATTATATACTATTAAATGTATATGTAAAATATTCTGGGGAAAACTACAAAAAAAAGTTACAGAGGTTATATCATTTTGAATAACTTTGTATCGGGCTTCCATTAAGTTTCACTATTCATCTTTTTTTTAAATATGTCTTTATATATTACGATTGCAAAAGTATTTCCACATTATTTAAGTTGGACTGAATGAGGGCTTGTGGTTTGTGTGTGTAGGCTTGTCTGGCTCTTGTGGTCACCATGCTGCTCTCCTCATGCATGAAATTGTTTTGAATTGAGGTTCAATTGAGACGCACTGAAATGGATAAAAAGATGCATTTATGAATGCAAATGAGATGTGTTTATGTGCATATTTCCCCCCTGCACCCTGGCCTCTGGATGTGTGTAAAGCAAAAAGAGATCTGAAATCAACATCAAATGCTTTTCTATAGGCTATTCAGGATTCTGTTGAATGTCAAAATAGGTTTAGTCCATCGGTAATGATAATATCTGGAAAGCACTTCTCTCAGTAACTGAATTATGTTCAAGTGTGTGTCTCGCATCACACTCCTTTACATGTCTTTTTGCTTTTTTTAATGACTTTTTACCACTTTCCTTTGGGACAGAGATGGTGTGAGAGAGAAGGACCGAAAAGAGATATTCCATAAAACAAATGAGTCGCCCTTGTGGTCGTGAACTCAATATGAGGAGGAATAAAAACAGACAGGAGACACTGCTGCTGCCAGTATCGACCAACCAGGCCATTTGTCTGTCATCCTCAGAGCTTTTACATTAATAGATTCCACTCAGGATCTTTAGACCTTTGTTTTCACTCTCACACTGTCTCCCTTTCCATCTCTCTACTCTCTCACTGTGTGAAGCTGTTTTTCTTCTCTTTCTCCCATATTCACTGTCATGACATCATTATTGCACACCAGCTGAAAACACACACACACACACACACACACACACACATTTACATCCAAACTTAAAGGGATAGTTCACTCAAAAATGAAAATTTACTCAGTGTGTACTAGTCCTCAACTTGTTCCAAACCTTTATTTATTCTAACACCAAAGAAGATGTTTTTAAAAAAGCTGAAAACCTGTAAACATTGACTTCCATAATAGGAAAAACTAATTTAATAGACATGCTTTTAGTTGAGGCGACACAGTGGCTCAGTGGTCAGCACTGTTGCCTCACAGCAAGAAGGTTGCTGTTTCGAGTCAGGGTCAGTTGGCATTTCTGTGTGGAGTTTGTATGTTCTCCCCGTGTTCATGTAGGTTTCCTCCGGGTGCTCCGGTTTCCCC